AGAGGTTGGCCCAGAGTTATATTCGGGAGATAGTCCGGTTGCACGGTGTGCCTGTTTCCATCATATCAGATAGGGGCCCTCAGTTCACTTCGCATTTTTGGAGAGCTGTTCAGAGTGAGTTGGGGACCCGTGTGGAGCTCAGCACAGCATTTCATCCTCAGACCGACGGACGGTCGGAGCGGACAGTTCAGATATTAGAGGACATGCTGAGAGCATGTGTGATTGATTTTGGGGGACAGTGGGATCAGTTCTTACCTCTGGCCGAGTTCTTACAACAACAGTTACTAGTCCAGCATCGAGATGGCTCCATTTGAGGCTTTATATGGTCGGCGATGACGTTCTCCTATCGGGTGGTTTGAGCCTGGCGAGGCTAAGTTGTACGGAACTGACTTGGTGAAAGATGCCTTAGAAAAGGTGAAGTTGATTCAGGAGAGACTCCGCACAGCACAGTCCAGACAGAAGAGTTACGCGGATCAGATGGCGCGTGATGTATCATTCATGGTCAGCGAGAAGGTTCTCTTGAAAGTCTCGCCGATGAAGAGTATTATGAGATTCGCTAAGAAAGGCAAGTTGAGCCCAAGGTTTATAGGCCCATTTGAGGTGTTGAGGCGAGTTGGGGAGGTTGCTTATGAGCTTGCTTTACCTCCCAGCCTATCAGGGGTTCATCCAGTTTTTCATGTGTCTATGCTTCGGAGGTATCACGCCGACTTATCTCATGTGTTAGACTTCAGTAATATTCATCTAGATGAGAGCTTGGGTTATGAGGAGGAGCCAGTTGCCATTGTTGATAGACAGGATCGCCAGTTGAGATCCAAGAGGATTTCTGCGGTAAAGGTCCAGTGGAGGGGCCAATCAGTCGAGGAGGCAACCTGGGAGTCTGAGGAGGACATACGGAGCCGATATCCAGACTTATTCAGCACTCAAGGTATGAATCTAAGCCCCTTCGAGGACGAACGTTTGTTTAAGAGGTGGAGAATGTAACGACCCGACTGGACGTTTTGCTTTCTAGAACCCTGTTCCCCTAAGTAAGACTTCCCGTACTTGCTTTTACTGATTTATGACTTGCGGAGATGGTTGATTCGAGATTTGGAAGATTCTGGGTTGAAATCGGAACACTTGGTTCCTTAAGGTTGGCTTAAAAGGCCAAGTTTGACTTCGGTCAACATTTTGAGTAAACAACCTCGGAATCGAGATTTGACGGTTTCAATAGGTCCATATGATAATTTCGGACTTGGGCGTATATCCGGATCAGGTTTTGGATGACCCGGGAGCGTTTTGGCATCTACTAGTGAAAGTTGATTTCTTAAGGATTTTGAAGTCTTTTTTGGTTTGGAGCGTATTTTTGTGATATCGAGGTCCAAACGAAATTCCGAGACCGGGAATAGTTTCATAATGTCATTTAAGACTTGCACGCAAAAATTTGGTATCATTCCGAGTAGTATAAGTATGTTTCGGCACATTAGAAATAGATAGAAGAACTTGAAGTTCATAAGTTTGATTCAATTGGTTTTAGGGTGTGATTCTTAGTTTTAATGTTGTTTCTGGCATTCCGAGGGTTCGAGCGAGTCCGTTTTATGATTCCAAACTTGTTGGTTATGTTCGAGCGGGGCCCCGGGGGCCCCGAGTGTCAATCGGACGAGGCTCGAGCTAAGTTGAAAATTAGAGGAGGAACTGAAGCTTCAGCTTCTGTCATAACCACACCTACATTTGGTCAGCCGCAGATGCGAGCTCGCAGGTGCCGGCCTTGACTCGCAGATGCGGCCAAGGGTGGCCAGCCCAGAAACCGCAGAAGTGGTTGGCCATCCGCAGAAGCGGTTGGCCTTCCGCAGAAGCGGCCCCAGCCGACCCAATAAAGTTCCGCAGAAGCGGACCATTTTCGGCAGATGCGATGGGCGCAGGTGCGGCCCAGGACCGCAGATGCGGAAATCACTGAAGGTAGTGACCTTCATTTATTATGGGAGTTAGACAATTTTGGCTTATTTTCACTCTATTATTGGGCGATTTTAGAGCTCTTGAGAGGAGTTTATCACCAGGCTTTTGGAGGTAAGTAATTCCTACTTTATGTGAGTTCAATACTTGGATTTTGGCAAGATTAACATGTAAAGATTAGTGAAAATCATGGGATTAGAGTAAAACCTAGATTTTTGATAAAAACAAGATTTAACCACGAAATTCGTTATGGAATGAAGTAAAAATTATATATTCTTGATCCTTAGGTTATGGGTAACAATTCCTTCGAAATTCGAGCACGTGGTCCCGGGGTCAATTTTAGGAACCTTACCTTTGGGGTTGGATAATCACTTTAATAGCTAGAATATGAACTTGTAAACCTATAATGATTGGTTTTTACACTATTTGAATAGTTTCGGATTGTACGGCTTCGATTTGAGGATTTGAGCGCATTCTTGAGTTGGAAGTAGGCTCGAAACGAGGTGTCTCTTTTCTAACCTTGTAAGAGGAAAATTTTCCCATAGGTGAATTTAATTAATATATGATCAATTGTGGGGATTACGTAGGCACGAGGTGACGAGAGTCCGTATGTGCCTACTATTCCTGTTATGTCCGGATAATTCTAGACTTACATCATGCTTCGTGTGTACCGTTATATGATTATAATTGTTTATTTGCATTGAATGGAACTAAGTTGAAGATGTCATGGTTTCAAGGATTTCAAGTAAATACTTATTTTGAAAAGAATTGAGGAAACATTAAGTTATATCTATGTAACCGCATCGCAAGTATATTCCGCGAGCGGGATGATTATTTTCACTACTCTCATGGGAGTGGGCCATTTGCCTCGGCAGGTTAATAAATGTATATATGGTTCAGGCCGTTCGACCCTCGGCAGTGCACTATTTACTTTTATGTTGTATCGGGCCGAACGTCCTCGGTAGTACTTCTGTGTGATAATAAAACCGGGACCCCTTATAATTCGTATGATTCATTACTTGAAAGCTTACTTGTTTTAAATGAAGAAAATGCCTAGATTTATTAATTGGATGAAAGGATTTTTAGTATTATTCTTGTTTGAGTATGTTGTTATCTACATACATTGTGAATTAAAATATGGAACTTCATATTATTATATTTGCTGGCCCTAGTAAGTGTCGGAGTCGACCCCTCATCACTACTTCTTCAAGGTTAGACGAGATACTTACTGGGTACATATTTTTATGTACTCACGCTGCACTTCTGTACTTGAATATACAGGCTTTGAGGCAGATGCATTTGGCCATCAATCCGGCACGTAGATTTGGACTCCCCAGCTTGAGACTTCCCAGTGAGCTGCCCTTCTGAGCCGTTCCGCAGCAGTTGGAGTCTCTCTTTTGTCTTTATGTTCCTGTCTATTTCTTTTCCAGACAATAGGATAGTACGATTTTGTATATACTACTAGACTGCCCACACACTTGTGACACTAGGTCTTGGCACACATATTGGTAGACTTATGATTTTTGTCTTATTTTTATGATTTCAATTCGTATTCATTACTTCTATTTAATTATGCTTAAATTTTGAACTCTAAATTTCTTAATCAATAAGGGAAAAGTTATCACGTACTAATTATTCAAATGAAAATTTACTAGTCGATTAGTGTTGGCTTGCCTAACAAAGGTGTTGGGCGCCATCACGACCTAATATGAAATTTGGGTTGTGACAGTGATAATGTAAATTTAACATAATGGAGAATTTATAGGGATTAATTATAGGATGGGATGATTATGGGATACATTACAGCTTTGAATCTTATTAATACGGATACGGACTAATACGTTTTAATCGGCGAATAATATGAATATCCATATTATCCATGGCATTAAATATGATCACTTTTGGGAGAATTCCTAATCTCTCAAACTTAAGGAACCTCTAATTTAGGACATTACAAATGTAAAAATTAAAGTCATTAGTTATCCATTTTCTAAATGGATAATATGATTCTTAACTTCTTGTCCATATTTGACATGTCTTTAAAAAGTTCATTATCCAATCCATTTTTTAATGAATAATATAGGTGGATAACTATTTTCTTTTAACCATTTTGCCACCACTTAAACCAAACATAGGTATTGATAATTGCAAAAGTGAAAACGGAAAGCAAAAACCTGAAGAAGCACTTAGGCCTTAGCAGAGCTGCTAAAATCTCTCTAACTATCATATGACAACAAAATACTAAATCAAGCAAAATTAAACAATCCGATTTTTTCAGTTGACAGAATCAACAATAGTTTACAGGAAACGAAGTTAGAAAGGAGAAAAGGAAATCAACTACCTGAGCAGGAATTCTTACAGCACATGCCTGTCCTGGGAACTAGGATTTACATAACGTCATCCTACCAAATACCAACCACTAACCATCTGCATAGAAAACAGAGAAAGGAGAAAAGAATAAAACAAACTTAAAACCTGGAGTCATTCCTAAAACGAGGGGTCATTACGCATACTAATAGTCTCTCACAGTCCAGTAATTTCAACTCTGACTCGCAGCAGATCACTAAGTAATCTTCCTAAAACAGCCTACCAACGAACAAAAAACATGTCTAATAATACAGCAGAACACACTCCAGATACAATACATTAAGTTACACCAACGGTTAAGTCAGCAGTAGCAGCAGATATACCAAGCATCTGTCATAATGTGGAACAAAGCTCTCCATTTAAAATTTTGTAAGATGTCCGAGATCACCTTGTCAAATTTTCATCGCACAATCCGTGTTACTTGAAACCTTTCTACAAAGCAACTTGGAAGCTATGATTTCTGGAGAACACATCTTTCGTATAAAGCTAGAATGTCCTTCTTGTTCGGATTCTTCAATTGGAGCANCGTGGGTAACGTTGAGGAGCTGACTCTAAGTTTGTAGACTGTCTTTAATGTACTGAGTAGTTTTTGGTTTGAAGTTCTGTTGTGTAACTAGTAAATTTGTAGTTTGTATTTTCTGAGTACTTGAAGTCTGTTGTAGAATGTGACTGAGTATTTCTGAGTTATTTCTTCGTCTTTAGTTTCATTCAGCCGAACTGCAGTTAACTGTTGCTGAAGAAGGTCCAACTTTCCTTGTGTAGCTTGCACGTGCAGCACGCTCAGTCTCCAACAGACTCTCAAGGACTTGCACAGTACTGGCTCTCTGTTCATTATTTGATTTCAGAAGTGACTCAATTTCCTTTTCCCTTTCTTCAACTCTGGCCTCCAGTATTGAAACTTTTGACTGCGCATCAAACTCAGATGCATGAAGCTTCCCTACTTCATTAGCCAATTCATCTTTTTGCCTCTGCAAGTTTTCTATACTTCTCTTGTGCCTCTCAATCTGAGCCAATCTTTCCATAGCTACTCGATGGATTTCACTCTTCTCTTTCTGGTCAGTAGCTGCTTCGACCCTTGCTTTATCAGCCAGCTCAGTTGCTCTTTTCGCCTCTCTTTCAGCTGATTTACATCTATCCTGGACATCTTCAAATCTACTGAACTCAGACCGATACTTCTGCTCCAGATGGACTTTCTCCTGTTCCAGAATCCTAGCTTCTCTTTCAAATGATTGTGCAGTAGCATTGATGTTCTCTAACCTTTCACCTAATTCCTTAATTTCAAGCTTTAAGGATGATACTTCCAGATCATAGTTCTTTATCTTTGACTCCGCAACCTGTGTAAGGTAAAGAACGTAGTATAGCCATTAGTACTAACACATTTTTTTCTTTTTTGAGAAGGTAAGGTGCCATTAGAACAAAAACTTGCGCATATATTGTGCTATGCTAATGATACTACAGGTGCATAACGAGTCATATTGCTAGAGCAGCAAGTTGGACTTCTTATAAAGTGAGATATCAATATACAGATCTAATGGACTACTCTTTTCATATTACAAGGAATTATCTCAGGTATATGAAAAGCATCTTACATGACAAACTATCTAAACAATACTCAAATGTCAATACATGGCTACCAATAACTACAGTGCTGGGAGACAAGTTTCCATAAATCTGAGGAACAGATATTGGATGATGGAGGTAGTGATGGCTTCTGCAAGCATGGAAGTTTACAGGGTCACGATCGGTCCCTCCCTCCCTCCCCTCCTCCCCACCTCCCTCCCCCCTCCCTCCCTCCCTCCCCTCCTCCCCACCTCCCTCCCCCCCTCCCTCCCTCCTTCCCTCCCTCACTCACTCACTCACACACACACATTTTTCTCCATCCTGTTCAAAAGATATTTTCCGGATACAATTCCGGTGCTGATAAACAGTGAATTAGTTTAAAATAGCAGACCCTCACCTTCAACTCCAAATTTAATGTTGTCAAACGCTGCTCAGCCTGCTCAAGCTTTGATGCCTTCTCCTTAATCTCCTCTACCTGCAGTTTCACAAGAGAAAATCTCGATTACTATACCAGGAAAAAAAAGAGTAAAAATCTTAATTATCATCTCAGAATACCTAAGCAAGCCAGTTAGCACAGTCAATCAAGCAAAGTACAATAGAAAACTTAAAAGCATGGAGTTAGGCACCATTTCTACATTTTATGGAGGTTTGAAGGTGGAGGGAAGAGAAGCAAAAGACACTAGCATCAGTCTATTAAGTAAAAATTCACCTTATTAACCAAGGTACTCGAAAATTCATCCCTTAAAGCATCTTCTCTCATTTGTGCTTGCTTGTTAGTGCGCTCTTGGATGGCTGCTGCCTTCTCAAGAGCATTCTTTGCTTCCTTGACAGCAATGTCATATTTACGCTTCCACTCCTCTGCCTCCTCTTGAGCTGATTCAGCTTGCTCTTTGGCAGCATTAACCCTGGCTTCGGCAGCACTAGTTCTCGCCTTCAGAATACTTATTTCTGCATTTGACTGTTCCTCCTCAGCCTTCTGCTTTGAGAGTACCTGTTCATATTTCCTTTTCCATTCCATAGACTCGAGTCTAGTAGAATCTAATGCTTTTGCTAAGCTGGTATATCTTTCTTCTAATGCACTGTGTTTACTCTGCAAATTTGCAATACGGCTTGCATAATCTTCTGCAAGCTTCTTCTTGTCACTGGTGGCATCTTCATAGCGCTTCAAATATTCAGATTTAAACTTCTCACTAGCTTCCAGTTGTTTGTTAAGGAAACTCATCTTATCCTCGATGGAACGACACTTCAATGCAAGAGCAGTTTTCTCTGACCCAATTTGGTCTATTTGTTTTTTAATGAGATCAAGAAGTGGCCCTTCTAAACTGCAAAATTCAAAACGAAAATCACATATACATTCCAAAACGGAATTGCTTCAGTAAGAACTGTAGATACAAACCTTTGTTGTATGAAGACAAGTAGTTTTCTCCATTTTTCAGGACCTTGACACATTGCTTCATATTTGGACACAGAATCATCAAGAACCTAGATAAGACATGGATACATACAATATAAACAACTCATTGCACAAACAATTTTAGTCTAGCTACCCAAATAGGTGCTAACGTCTATAATGAAGACTTACTTTTAGCACAGTATCTACTTTTGTATCAGGAGCATGACATGCCTTTCTCAATCTATTTTCCATGTCCTGTATCGCATTTGAACACTGTAGAGAAGACTCCCGAAAAGCATCCTTTCTAATGTCCTACGCGTTAGAATCAAATGGAAATCAGCATTTTTTTAGGAGAAATTTCAGAGCATGGTTAAATAGGCAAGCAAAGATCTAGACACAACTGAGTTGACTACAGGTCCAATCATTTTAAGGGCGAAATTAAGCTTTCACCAACAATACATGTCTCATATGGACCTCTTCTAAATATTACGGGAAAGAATGGGGCAGAAATAATCAGAACCTCAAATGCTTTCTTTATGAAATTCTGGAGACGTTTCTCATATTTGGTTCTGATGGATCCAGCCCCTACAGCTGTACTATTAAATGAAGCCATGGACTTCTGGACAGCATCTTCATGTGCTTCTCTTAGTGCTGCCTACAATTACAAAAAATATCAGTAGATATTCAAATGCATTACCTATCAAACGCAGAAGTACTTACTTCCTCCGGCGGCTTAGAACGATCAAAAGAAGACATGTACATTTCAGCAGCCAAATCATATGCCCTTTGACACTCAGCTTCCTCAACACTCTGCCCCAGGGAAATCACAAAACAAAATTTAATATCATGTACGAGGTACAAAGGATCCAAAAATTGATCACTAGTAGTACTTATGCTTCATCTGAAAACTACTTCACAAGATCCTCCATAGCTATTCACTAGTTTTATTTCTATAGGTGGTAATTTTATTAGTGTTGGGAAATCATCGTATATGAGTAGTATGCCAAAAAGTAGAGAAACCCAGACCAAGATATGGTTCTCCGTCTATTCATCAGTAGTACATCTGACATGTTTGTGTCACTCCAATTTACCATCAAAAGTGAATAGAAAAAGGCTCACTTGCAAACCAAATGGGATAAACAAAGTGGAAAAGGAAGTAAACAACATGCAGTTAACTTTATGTCTAATAAAAGCACCCTGAAAAGAAATAAGTCATCCATTTCTTCAAACTGCAGATTAATGCAATTTTAGCCACAAAATGAACCGCAGCCATTTAATGTGTCGTTGAAGTCTGGGATAAGCCCAAGACTAGGCAGAGCAACCACCTGGCTGCAGGATTGCTCCCCTACTTCTAAAAACTATCAGCAAGTCCTTTCCAACTCAATTATCTCTCATAGTTTAGAAGATAATGCGCAATTCTACGATCATCGTACAGGTCCCAGCATGTATTCCAAATTCAATTTTTCTAATTATTCAATAGTCAAAAATAAAAACCTAAAAGAGCTTTCTGTAAGTAGTAAAATCGAATTAAAACAAAAAAGGAAGCAAGGATACAGAAAAATGATAAGTGCCAAGCACAATCTGTGAGGACATAATTTACAAAGAAGGTCCGTAGAGCAAGATAAACAAATAATTCAACTTTAGAACAACAGACATGGTGAAACTTTAAGTGTAATTTATGAGAGGGAAGAAAGGCAATGTGAGCTTAAAGACGTCATTAGTTATTCTTTTGTCAAACAAAATTATCAATAGTTGATTTAGTTCAAAGCAGAGCAAATAAAGATACTCTATTAGATAATATCACAACATGATAAAGAAAAGTTTTTGTTGCTTTATAAAAGTCATGACAGGAATATAAATACCATCAAATATAATTAATGACTCCCATATGTATCAGTATTCAGTCCCTTGTGACACAACCTTTACCATAAGACCGAGAAACGCATGGGTTGGAGACAAATGAAAATATGTAAAGTTCACGAGCCTCTTATACAAAAAATCAATAACTCTTGGTTACAATTCACTAGAACATTTTTTTTATGACGGTATTATCATTAAATATGATTCACTAAAATATGATGTACACAAAAACATCTAGAGCATGAATAATCTTTTTTTCCCCAGTTTATTCTCAAGGTGTCTGTGACCAAATAATAATATAACAATAACTCAGGCTCCTGCAGATACAGATAAGAACATCAAAGACATCAAGCCGATTGAAGAAAAAACCTACTAACATCTACAACACTAACAAGTAACGAAATTGACCTGCCATGAAGATGTAATTGTGGGCACTGCCCCTTTGTTAAGAGCATCGAGGAAGGACTGAGTTATACGGGCAAATATTGGTCCTGTCATTACAGTAGCTCCAAATTGCTTCGGTCTAGTCCTCTCAAAAACAAATCTTGTCAATGCATCAAGACCTGCTTTAAACTCTGGCCTCAATTTTTCCAACTGCATGTGAAATGAAACCACAGTAAGAAAGCTATAAAGGGTTACTCCCAATAAAAGGAGAGTAATCAGACAGTAATTATAATCTTAGAGAATGTAGGGAATGAATTATGAGCACTGACAGGTATTTGGTCAAGCCGTTGGAGCTCATTTTCATTGCTCAGTGGCCGCACAAGGGTGAAGCATTCTCTGTCAGGGAAAAGAGCACGAATGGACTCCCTAATCTGCAGTCACAAATTTATATTATTATTTACCATGGAAAGTTTAAACAAATATGGGACAAAGATATCAAATGCAAGTATTCTACAAGATACGGCTCACCAGTCCTCAGGATAGAGAGGATACTCTTTGTTTAATAAGAAAAGAAGAACTACCATTGAAGTCCTTCAGATAGAGAGGATTACTAATAGCAATTGAGCTTTTGTGGATACACAAAATGGAAGAACAATTTATGTGAGTACCTCATTTTTAGCGGTTACATCTCTCCGGCCACCTTCAACTGGCCGCAAAGCAAGCTCTAGGTAGTCCCGTGGTGTTATCTTGCGATTATCCTCAACCAAGTCCAAATAAAAATCCTAATCAAAAGAAAAAATAAATACTTGTATGCCACTTACTTATGATCCGGAAGAGAGTACCTTAAAAGAACCTAAACTGATGCTGATAAATAAATTCTAAATTACCCTTAGCAGCCAAACAAAGATTGGGGAGAACTGTCCAATCTCAGAGGCACTGGTCCTTCCTCCAGAGGCTCTAACACGTATATGCTTAGTCATTTCAGTGACCAGAGAGAGGCGGTCAAGCGCAGCTTCATCAATACCACCCATCTAAATTGATAAGAATATCAGGAAACTGGACTAAATTGGATACAAGTCAGACAAATATGTGCATAAAAAGCAGATTGTGAAAACATCAGAAGTATATGATTCAAAAGAGGAGGGAGTGTCTCGCAAGAATGTCTTTTTCTCATTAGTCACCAAAAGTAAAAGTACATTCTTGCGAGACACGTGCCCTTAGTCTTGTGATTAAATGACCTATCTCATAAGAATGTCTTATCAGAAAGAGATATGAGATCCATGCCTGCGTAGTTCAAACCTGGTTATAAACGAACATACTTGAGAGGAGGACCGCCAAGGAGAATATTTGCGTGCTGTATGTTCCCTGTTGACAACTAAAAGATGAATAAGGAGGAAGACATAAAGAGAGAAAGAGAGGACGGACAGGGAAAAAAAAGGGGGGGAGGGGGAACAAAATGTATCCCTTTAGTTACTATACATTAAAATTTAATCAAACCTAAAATGTATAAGAAAGTGAGGAACAATTATGCAGAGTACTACCCCCAAACAAAAAGGGAAATAAGAGTGTGGTGAATGAAAGAATGTTGTCCCTTTTTTTCCAGTACAACAATGACAAAAATGTTTAAGCGTAAAATCTAACCGTTTGATCATAAGCATCTATTCCCTCTGTGTCCAGAAGTAGAAGGTTGTATTCTGTTCCATCAAGAGCTGTTCTTCGCAAAGGTGCACTCCACAACCAAATGCCTTTGGTACATGGGCGATGAGTTGGTGCTACTTGAAAGCCACTGCTCCTCCCAAGAAGCTAAATCACATGCAGGAAACTCAGTTATCTGATTCTTGATAATTAGGAAGCTCTCCCTTAGAGCAAATATCTAACATCAGAGAGGAAATGGCCAAAGAATGAAAGGAAGTTTGTTTTGACATCTTGATAAATTTATCCATATGATAGATCAATCTAGTCTCTTAAAGCAAAACACTAGCTATCACTGTATGGCTTTGGACCATGGGTTGACGACAAGCTACGCTATTTCTTTCAGTAAGGCTTAACAGCAGTATATGCAAAATGTGCTTGAAAATTAAAGGGAAAAAATGAAACACTCAGCACAATGGAGTTACTTCATGATACAAAAACAGGAGTTACTCCACGTAGATCAAGCTTACTGCTTGAGGAACACGATAAGGAGTTCTATGAAGAAACACACAGAAAGCTAGCATCAGGTTTGCCAGGAAACTTTCCCCGTTTGAAGAGCGTTTCATAAACAATCCAACACATCAAACAGAAACTGCAGGATTTGATGCCCTAGACAATTATGAAGCCAAAGAGGCTTCTCAAGAGTTTTCGGATCTCAATTTCTAGACAATGAGAAGACTGGTCTAGTATAAAGCCCTAAATTGAAACACTAATACAGAAAAACTGTGCTACTAAAAGCAATCCCATATCAGTTAAGTGTCAGAGTGACACGAAAAAAGAGGTATCGCTTCTGATGGCTTAAGTGATGCGGCTATTGCTAAGAGCGAGTACACGCCTCAGATGGTGAAGCGCAAAGCAACACAAGCAAAAATATGTTTTTTCCTTAGAAGTTAAATGATGAGGAAAGAAAAGTACTTGGACCCTCTCCAAGTGCACTATGGCATTCTGTCTATTGTCTTCCTCTCCTTCTATGTTGAATGACTCCTCTCTTATTACTCTTTCTTCCTTTCTTAATACGTTTTTGATGAGTATGATTTTGTTCTCTTGATTCGTTTCACACTTACTCCCTATTCCATCTTATGACACGATTTTCATTTTGGTCCATTCCAAAAGGATGACACTGCATGTTTGGGAACTCTTTAGTATAACATTCTAATAAGCCTTCAACAACATGCTCTTGTAGGAAAACCATGGGCATGTTGAAAACCATAAGACTCTTAGATAATTGTGATATATACACATACATATGTTCAAGCGAAAGTGAAGATAAAACAAAAGAATTGACCGTTTAAGTATTCCAAATTGAATGGCAAAATGGCAGGAAGAGAGACATGTAGATGGGGTATATATCAATCCATATTGAATTGCGGATTCCAAAATGATAAAATCATTTTTGATTGGACAAAAAAAAGTCTCCATAGAAGATAGTTAAGAAAATCAAAGAGGAGAAAACACGTTTCCGAGATAGAAATCGGTATCTAATGAATTCAATGGTTCCAGTATAAATAAAAGAAAAAGAAAAAGGAATGACATCACAACAAGATCCTAATCTCGAAACAAAAGAATGTGTGTGTGTGTATAGAGAGAAAGAGGGCTTATGTTTCAAAAGTCTTTTTCTCTCCTAAACTACATGCCCAATTAAACACCATATAAAATGAAATAGACATAGAAAAGGAATAAATATAGTGATAGTTTGATTCTTCATTGCCGTAGTAAATAGAAGAGGGTCCTCTTCTACTACTTCTATTTTTGAGCATCTTTTCTTCTGCCATTTCTTGTTGTCAGTGATTCTATTTTCTCCTTTCACATATGTTTTTTTTTTCATTCTCTTTAAAAAAAATTATAAGGTAAAGTTTTATTAAGAAACAGTATCAAGATAGTACAGCAGCAAATACAAAAGGCAGGACTCGTTTTACATTACATATTCAGAGAATCTAACAAGGTCAGCATGTCATTCACTTATTCAAAAAATTTCAGCATATCATTCAAATTCAAAACTAAATTCCCTTTCATCGAATAGTAAAAATTCTGGAAACATCAATATTTAACAACAGTTAACATCTCTTTTTATCTACAAAACATCTCTAATTTCTTTCGATCCATATAGTCCAGGCAATGCACAGAGGAATAGATATCCATATCTTCTTGTGAAATCTGCCAATTTAATATGTCTTCTCCAACAGCATAACAAACTTTTAAAGTTGTAAAGTGCTAACCAATACACTCCCGTTTTGCATATAAGGTTGATTATTTTAAGAATATAACATGACTTTGTAATTGAAACTACCTATGTGTATAATTACTAAACCAATTAAATATGATATTAAATGTTCTGAATTAGCCGTCTTGACTGAAGAATTGAAAACTGAAATCAATTTTTGCTTGAATTTTTCTTTATCTGAACTTCTAGAATTACATTTAAAATGATCTTTTGTTACTTAGTTACGTGTAAAATGATGTTGAAACTAGGTCTTTAAATGATAGCATCATTGTTATACATTGGATGTTCCATTTCTAGATATTAAAATGACATTATTCTAGTACTAATACTACTTTATGCCGTTGGTGCTTTAGTCTAGCCATAAGAGCGCAGCGTGTGATCTATGGATTAGGCACACGTAACAGGTTTGAACCCTGCTGCAGACAAAAGTCTGGTATTTAATTGGAGAAGGGTAGAGGGAATTAATTTATAGTAATACCATTTTACAATTTACACAATTTTCTAGAGCTCAAATCTATTTAGAAAATCATATTTAAGTTTTGATGCGATATTTTCTCTTTCACATTAATTTTTCATCGTTCCGTAAATATTTTCTTCGACTTCCACAACTATGTCAAACTAATATATTAAATTGGGTACCTAATCAAGTAGTGCCACATAAAGTGGAACAAAGAGAGCATATGTTAAGTAAATTTCATATTTTCTGTGAGTTGTGAACTTCACTTCGAAGAGATGCACGCTTAGCTTCTAGTTTCTAACTTAAATCCCCATGAGCTTTTTCGGGCTTTTCACTTGATGCTTTTCTATTCTCCAGCAGAAACCCTCCATTGCATAGTTCTGTATTTATCTAGTCAATATTTTAAATGAGTATTTCCATCTCTTTTTTGGTCATCTACAATGACCATCTTTTATTTAGTGCTGAAATGATAAATCCACTTAATAACAGCCTAGAAGGAACTATTTCATCTGCAGTTTCAGAACTACAAAACTCACCCCTACTTTAATCGCTAACATGACATTTGCAAACCACATAAAGTAATACATAGTTTTCCAACAGCTGCAACACATTTATCCAGGAAACTTCTAGCCCTAATTCCCCTCGCCTACTTTTTCTTGCTGGTTTAGTTCCTTCGTATTTATTTGCTATTCTGTTTCTTATTTCAGAGTAATGTGCTTTGCTAAACTAGTTTATCCAAACAATTAATTACAAGGTCACAAAGTCTCAGTTAAAATTAAGAACTAAAACACCAGAAAGCAAAACCCTAATAAACAAAGGAGGATGAAAATATTCTATTACTGAAATTTCAAATTTAATTTACCTGGTTTAATATAAAGCTCTTGCCTTGACGAGCGCGACCGCAAACGGAGACAACGCCAACTGGTTCTTTGACAAGCTGAAGTACCGCTAGGGCTTCGGGATCAATCTGGAACTTTCCTTTCTCATCGCAATAAACGAAACGTATCGGTCTCGCTGGTCCCGTAGCGACATTGATAGAGGACCGCTGTGGAGGCGATGGAGACGGAGACGTCGGCGGTGACGGTGACGGTGACGGTGACGGAGAATCTTGCTGCGGCGAGTCTCCGGTGGAGCCTATGCCAAAAAACCTTCGCATATTTTCACACACGGGCTGTTCTCTGCGGAGTTCTATTTTGGCCGTTTATTTTATAAATGGAAAAGAGGGAAAAAGAGAAAAGATAGGAGGCCCGGAAGTATTTATATGATGTTCGACATGGGACGATTGAGAAGAAGACCCGATATTACTACTTTACCCTTCAGAATGGACAAGGGTTGAGAGTACGTACAGAAATGTAGTTAAGGGGTTTTATGGAATTGAAGAGAAATGGCGTGACAGCGTGTTGGTAAAGCTAAACTGGCGGGTAAGTGTGGGCATCCGGTATTTCGTTTCGGTATTTAAGAATTTCGGTCCGGTATTTCGGTATTCGGTTTATCAATTGTGTATATCAAATACCGTACCAAAATACTTCGATACGGTTCGTTATTTCTTATTTTGGTTCGGTACGTTTCGGTTTAAACCAAATCTTCCCTATCTCCCCCACTCCATTAACTAATGTAATCCATGTTGGTTATGTGCTAAAATTTTGGATTAAGTTAGATTCTAAGTCCATTTTTTTTGCCCTCGATTGTTTTCAGGAAGTAGATGATTTTGAGATAAGAAGGTTTCTTCGAGCTAGGGATCTGGACGTAGACAAAGCTTCGGCAATGTTCTTGAAATGCCTTAAATGGAAGAAAAGCATTGCATCAAATGGCTTCATTTCACCGAGTGAGATTCCAAACCAGATAGCACACAACAAAATGTTCATGCAAGGAGTCGACAAACAAGGACGCCCTATTGCTGTCATTTTTGGTGGGACAAACAAGGACGCCCTATTGTTGTCGTTTTTGGTGGGACAAACAAGGACGCCCTATTCCAAACCAGATAGCTTGTCGTGAGAATAAGACAAGTAACTATTGGGCCAAAGAATAAAAATTATTTCGGTATTTCGGTATACCGACATATTAAAAATCCAATACCGTATACCGTACCGAATTATCAAAATACCGAAATTTCTGTACCGAGAAAATCAAAACCGAAATACCAAATTAATTTGGTTCGGTTCGGAATTCGGTTTTTCGAATTTTATGCCCACCCTTACTGGCTGGCCTTATTACCTTTTCTTTCTTTTCCTAGGGTCTGTTTGGAAAGCCACCAGGTAATTAGAATTGGTGTAATTACTAGTGTAGTAATGACACAGCCTAGTAATTACACAGTTATGTAATTACAACGACATGTTCGTTTGTCATAGTGTAATTACAGTGTAATTATAAGTTTACTGTTTGGTTGCACAAGTGTAATTATACAGTTAGATTAAATTTTAATGAAGTATCACTTGTTTTACAAGTCGATTTTGTGTTCTGAGGCCTTAAGAACCTCTTTTTATCTCACCTCGATTTGCGTGCGCAGTCCGGATGCATTTTCAAAAAGCTTTTATGTGAAAACTAAGTAAAATATGCAAATTGGCTTTTAAAAATTGAATAAAGTTGACTTTGGTCAACATTCTTGGTAAACGGACCCGGACCCGTGATCCGACGGTCTCGTAGGATCCGTTGTAAAATATGGGACTTGGGCATAT